GTAAATAATAATTATTTATTATTGAATATTATTATTTAACTAAATATTGAATCTGTATAATTGATTATTTACAGATAACATATATAATTAAACAATATATTAGACTTGGAAGTAATATTACTATTAGAAGTGATATTGAAAATACGATAAAAAACCTTTGTAGCACTATAGTTTGTCAGATTAAACCTAATCAAGAAATAACCAAGAATAAAATAAATACACTTCCTAAAATATCTAACTAGTTTGAATGGTAATAGCCTATAGAAGGTCTATTTTCTGATTATATTTTTGCAAGAACTTTACCAAATATAGGTGAATGGATAAAATTTTCACCAGCTAAAATACAAAAATTATCAAAAAATAATTTTTTAAAACTACAACTATATACTAACATACCTTTTGAAATTCCATCTATATAAATAATACTTATACTATATGCAATAGGTATAATATTGTTTTATTTTGCATAATATCAAGTTTTTTGATCAATTATTATAACTTTTCATTCATTTGATTTATAGAAAAAAATACTAAACGAAGTATTGAGAAAATTAAAGAGATTTTAACCAAATAAAACATTGCATTTAATAATAATTTAGATTGAAATTCACTTGCAAATCTTATACAAGATCATTTAAATAATGAAACAATTGATGGTAATAATATTATAAATTTATTATGAAATTAATTGTAAATAAAAAATTTACTTTTTTTAACATTTTTACAATAATTTCTAAGGCTCAAGATTATATAATCCTAATTCTTTATTACAAGATTCTTTTTTACCAAAATAGATTTACTATTATTAATAATAATTATTGTAGTATTTTTTTATTTTTAGAAAATAACTAATTAATTTCTAGTGAATTTGTAGACAATGATTTTTATTTTTCACCTGAATGGGTATTGAAACAAAATCAAAAATTTGGAACAAAAGGTGAAATACAAATAGCAAAAAGAATAATATAATTAATGCAAGAATATTTTCTTTTGGGTAATATAAATCATTATGATTATTATACTGCAGAAAAAAATTCTAAGTGAATTGCAAGCTTTAGCTATATCAGGAAAAGAACTTTATGATATTTTATGCTATCTAAAATACAGATTATTAAAAATTGGATTACTTATTATACTGCAGAATATAAGAAAGAAATAGCAGAAATAACTTTGCAAAGAATAAATATATTAT